GAAGCCCCACCCCGAATTCACTAGCAGTGAGTTCATTGACATAGGCAGGCAACCCCAGAGTCTAGAAAATGAGAGGAAAGATACTGACAAATTGCCAAATGAAAAGGATTATTATCAAGAGCATCTTACTAAAATTTTGTCCTAACCCATTGCTATATATTTATTGAAGTTGCTCACTTCATCAAGATAGATTGGCCGGCCTTCTAGTTACTAGCAAGGAGAAGGGATTTACAACATAACCAAAATGAGTAGGAATTTACTTGAAGCTTTGGCTTAAAAAAAAAAAAATGTAGCCTTGGCTTCGAAGTTCCTTGAGGGTCCCCTCTGGAAGGAATAGGATTTGCTCTGCTGGTCTCGGATCCTCCAGGTAGCCACCTGGTGTTTCTTCTGAGGTTGTTTCAAGTTCTCCAAATCGGGATCGTCAGTGTTGTCCTCAGAATTTTCCTCTTATCCAGAAGCTGAGAAGAACCAAGCAGTCAGAGGAAATCCCCCTACGACAGCCAGGGAGGGAGCTAGGTGGAGGGAGCAGGCTGCAGGGGTGCGGAGGCCCAGGGAGCTGGGTGGGTGGGAGTGTGTGCGGTGCCCTCCCCCTCCACTCCTTTGGAGAGGGACTTCCTTCTAACAGGGACCCCTCTGTTGTTGTAGTTCAGAGCTTTGACTTGAGAAGCATAGTTTCCCAGTGATGCCACTGGATTCCTGACGTGTGACACCCCAGGGCAACATGGTGAAGGCCGCCGTTGACTGCTTTGGGGCCCCCAGACAGGGACACCATTATGAGTCACATTTAGTATGTGAGCTCCCTCTTCCCATGACTGGCACTATTCTTAGCACCATTCTCTGCTCCCTGGGACAGAGGTCACTAGGACCACAGTCTGGTCGGGTGGGTGGATGGGACTGGGCCCAGGCGTGAGAGGAGGTGCAGAGAGAATAGAGGAAGAGGCCTTACAGTTTTAGGATATGTTGCAGCAAGGGCAAGAGGTGGGGCCCTGCTGCCCTGGGGGTTGGGGCAGACCTGCACTAAGCAGTTCAGAAACATCTTCTGGGAGAGCCCGTAACTGGGTGTGCTAGCCTCACTCAGTGTTTTGACAAGTCTGGGGAATAAGAAGTTCCTTGGGCCTAGACTTGGATGTTGCTGGCAGGTTTATGCAGTTAACATACATTCCAGAGCTACCTCCCAGCTGTGGGCTTCCAAGTAGCCCTGAATTCCCCTCTCATACCTGAAGTGAGAGTGACACATTGTTGTGGAAACAGGCTCCTGTGTTAGACTATCCACTCGTCCAGCCATGAAAGAAGCCCACCCTGGAACCAGTATTCTTGCTGAGCAGATTCCTTGATCTTCATATTTCTATTGCTTTCCGCAACCCAAGGGCAGTCTAGGAGTCAGCACAAAGGTACTGGAGAGGACTCTTTGGGAGGAATTATAGTGTCCTTTCGTTTGGTACCACACTGTGGGCTTTCTGAAGGGTAAGCAGTGACTTTCAGGAAACCCAGGGTGAGAGCGGAGCACTGTGCTCATTAGCTCCAGGTGGGCTCACAGCATTTTTCTCCAAGAATTGAGGGAAGGAGGTTTGAGCTGACATCACCACTATTTTGACTTCCTTATTGTGAAGCTGACCAGAGACGTTCCTTCCCATCCAGTTCCTGTGGTTTCTTTAGGCAATTGCTTTTCCACTTTATTCTTTCTCTTCCCTTTGGTGTAAATCAAAGAAATGAGTTTAGAGAGCACCACACTCTAGGACCTCAGCTCCCAGTACTGGAATTTCAGTTTGATGTTCTTTATGAACAAAAGTAAACTCACAATGAGAAAAAAAAACCAAAAAACCTGCACACAGGGACTAACTCGACCGCCCCCGTCCCTGCCCCCGACCCCCCATATACGCAGACCTCAGGGTCAAATATACAGAGAAGGGCTGGAGCCGGGCAGATGGAACCTGACTCGGACATTTAAACTTGGGAAATGGCTCTGGCAGGAAAAACAACAGCAATTCTTCTGTCTGAGATCCCTTCCTCTTTGAGCTGGTTCCAGCGACATGAACCGAAGTCCCCTTCTCCACATTATGGCCGCCCAGTCGCAAAGTCAAGAGCCTGTGCTCCTGGGCTCGCCTTTCTGGGACGTGCTGTGTAGAAGCCCAACTTCCTTTTTCTGAGCTTGGCATTACTAGTCCCATAGTCCCCAAAGGATTTTAAGATAAATAGTGTAAGAGTTTTCAGGTAAATAGTGGGAAGGAGAAATAATAAAGTGACATGGGCTAACAGCTACCACAAGGGGACCTGACTAATTGGGCTAGAAATGTCACCTGTGGAGGTGGATGCCGAGAGCACTAGCTGTCAGAGGGTTGGGAGAACCACTGACCGTCCAGTGTCCTGTGGCTGCTGTGAGAGGTGAAGAAGAGAAGATATTTTTTTAAAAGCCAGAGCCTGTTATCCCTTGACTTACTGTGACCAGGCAGGCAGTTCAGATGCCAGCCTCCAGGTTCGTCTTGTGTAGGAACAATGCAGTTCGTATGGAGCTGAAGAATTCGGGGTCAGACTGCCTCAGTTCCAGTCTCGGCCACTCCACTTCTGACATGAATGGGCTTGGCCAAGGACAGTGGACACAGGTCAGGCAGTATACTAGTTTTCTTTGCTATAAAATGGTAGGAACAAACACGATTGCATCTAGCAATCGTGGAGTTGTTATGAGGAATGAATGAGATGTGTACAAGCAGCGACGCAGTGTCTGGTGCATAGTAGGTGTGTAATCAATCACAGCACTTGTGAGCCTTTTGCTCCACCAGGGGTCTTAAAGCAACTCCTCTCTCTGTCCTAGGTCTGCAGTCTGTAGACCTGACTCAAAAGAGGACTCACTTATGTAATTTGGGGGTAGTCGATTTTTCTTTCTGTGTCTCCCCTCAGAGGTCCTGTTGGGTGTGTAGTCATTTTGCACTTCATCGGGAAACCTGTTATGTCACAAGGAGTCTTGCTTTTCCTTTTCTTTTTTTTTTCTCTTCTCTTCTCTCTCTTCTTTTTGCTTTTTGCCACCAGAAATTATATAGCATTTCTTAATAGAGATTTGTTTCCTTACTCCTTCTCCCCTCTGGATGGCTTCTTGATGGGTTCCTCATATAATGTTGTGGTTAGTCCTGTGAGCCCAGGCAGAGAGTAGTAGCTAGTGAGTTTAACTCAACTGACAAGAAATCTGCAAATGCGTCTAAATTGTACACCCAGTGGCTTTTTTAACAAGAGGTGGAAACAGAGGAGGATAAGGCTTAACCAGTGTGGAATTCAGGGCTGTTTTTTGAATGTTAATTTGTTTTGTAGACATTCGCTGTATCGTTTTATTCTAGAATATGTTTAGGATATTTCTTACGAAATGGTTTTAAAGAGCTCAAGGCATATTCTTAGAAGGATAAGGTAGCAATGTTTTATTTTTCATATTTAGCTTGGGGTATGCAGAGGAGGAGCCCTGGAAACCACCATTAGGAGGCACTTAGAAAGGAACGCTTCCTTGGCTGTCAGATGACAATGCACGCCAGCCAC